GAAAAGAAGAAGAGAAAAGAAAAAAGAGAGAAGAAGAAGAAAAAGAAATAAAAAAGAGGAGTAACAATAACAGTAGTAGCAGTATAAGTAGCAGAAACAGCAGCAGTAGTAGTACAGTAGTAGCAGCAGTAATGGTAGTTAATAAACAATAGTAATAGCAACGTATCCATAGTAGTAATAATATCCATTTTAGTCATCGCATTCCGATTTCATAAACCCGAAACGAAATCCTCTAAAAAAACCGTATCCAGACCCCAAGACCCTTTCGTCTAAACCGTATCCAGACCCCAAAACCGTACCGACCCCAAGACTTTCGTCTAAACCGTATCCATAAACCGTATCAGACGGTCTTATCTGTCTAACCGTATCCAGAAAAACGTAGGAGCTGCAACGACAAGAAAACGAGGGTTGAACTTTCACTTTTTTTTTCCTTCTTTTACGTTTCGTATGTGGGAGATTCGGTATGTGTGTGGTTGTGTATGTGTGTGGGTGTTTGTTTGTGTGTGTTGTGTGTGTGTGTGTGTGTGTGTGTGTGTGGTGTTGTGTGTGTGTTGTGTGTGTGTGTGTGTGTGTTTGTGTGTGTGTGTGTGTGTGTGTGTGTGTGTTGTGTGTGTGTGTGTGTGTGTGTGTGTGTGTGTGTGTGTGTGTGTGTGTGTGTGTGTGTGTGCCGTTGTATGATAATATAGAAACATATACAAATATATTACATTTGTCTGTATATATGCACTGTTATCCTCATCAATTGTTTCTATCTTTTTTTCTCTATCTTTTGTTTACTTTTTTTTTTATTTTATTTTTTTTTTTTCTATTCCTCATCCTTCCCTTCACTTCCTTTCCCTGTTCTCCGGTCGCGTCCCTGATCCTTAGGTGGGGGTGATGGGGGGGGGCAAAAGAGCATCCGCCTCCCCTTTCTCTGCTTCCTATTTTCTCTTTTCCCTTCCTCTTTACCCTATTTTCGTCTCTTTTTTACGTTTTTTTTCTCTTTCTTTCTCTCTTTCCACCCTTCTTTTTTTCTTTTTTTTTTCTTTTTCTGGTCCTCTCTTATTCGTCTTCTTTTTCTTTTCTCTCCTTCTCCTTATCCTTTCTTCCTTTTCTCTTCTTTTCCTTTCTTCTTCTCTCTCTGTTCCATTTTCTCTCCTCAATTTTCCTCCACTTCTTTCTTCCTTCTTTCCACCTCTATTTCTCCTCTCCTCTCCTCTTCCTTCCTTCTCACAAACCCCATTCCTCGTCTCCCTCTCCTTTATTACCTCTTCCTTATTCTCCCCTTCTTCCTTTCCTCTCTCAATCTTCTCCCTTCCCCCCCCCCCGCCCCCCCCCCCTCCCCACACCAACGCTCATCTATTTGAATTTGAATTTAACCGTTTTTCCTTTAACGGATTTTGAGTCTTATAACTGTCTATCCTTATTTCATATATATCTTTGTCATATTTTCCTTGCATCTAATCCTCTTCAAAGTATTTTTCTTTTTTCTCTTTATCTAAATCCTCATCTCTTGTCTTTTTTTTTTTTTTTTTTTTTTTTTTGTGTGTTGTGTGTGACTTGTTTATCATTTTTCTGTCTTTGGCATTATGTCTGTTTCCTTTCCTTTTTCAGGATTCTTCGACTTCTTCTTCTTTCCTTCTTCTCCTTCTTTTTCTTCTTCTTCTTCTTCTTTTCTTCTCTTCTTCTTCTTCTTCTTCTTCTTCTTCTTCTTTTCTTCTTCTTCTTCTTCTTCTTCTTCTTCTTCTTCTTCTTCTTCTTTCTTCTTCTTTTTCTTCCTTCTTCTCTTCTTTTCTTCTCTTCTTCTTCTTCTCTTCATAATAATAATAATAATAATGATTATGATGACTATGATAACAACAACAATAATAATAATAACAACGATAATAATGATGATAATAACAGTAACAACAAAAATGTCAAAAACAAATTAAAAATAATCACCGGGTTTTATATCATCCGAATAAACAGCGCGAATAATAATAATAACAACGATAATAATAATGAAAATAACAGTAACAATAAAAATGTCAATAACAATAACAAATTAAAAAGAATAATCACCGGGTTTTATATTATCAGCGCGGTTTCTGAAAATAAAGAAGAGAAAATAAAGTGTATAACTTGAATCGCTTATTGACATCAAAACCGCATGTCAGTAACAGATTAAAAAGAATAATTACCGGGTTTTATATCATCCGAATAAACAGCGCGGTTTCTGAAAATAAAAAAGGGAAAATAAAGTGTATAACTTGAATCGCTTATTGACATCAAAACCGCATTCTTTTGGGAAACTCGGATTCAAATGTGCTTGAGGCAGTCAAACTCATCTCTTGTTGGTCTTGCAAGAAATTTAGATTCGATGTCGATGTGCAACATGTCAAGTTTGAAAAGAGAGAAAGTGGAGAGAGAGAGGGGGAGAGAGTGAGAGAAAGAGAGAGAGAGAGACAGAAAGAGAGAGAGAGAGATGGAGAGAGTGAGAGAAAAAGAGAGAGAGTGAGAGAGAGAGAGAGAGAAAAGA